CTATAGCAGCCATCTTGCCCACCCTGTGTATTACAGCACCTCTCTCCTTTCTCCCAGGGGCTCCCAGAAAGATTACAGAAAGAATGCCACCATCGGCACAAAGGTTGCCTGCTGGTTCATCCACAACAATGGGGAAGGACTGATTGATGGTGTCCACACTGACTACATTGTCCCCGACCTGTTTTGAGTAGACACGCCAGTTCCTGTTGAGATGGCTGGCTCAGCTTGCCCGGCATCTGGAACAGAGTTACAGAGCGGAGCCTGTGGGAGGGGCTGGGACAATAAAGTCCAAGGTAGAAACGAGACAGCTGCCAGCCTCTACCTGCCTTCATGAGTCCCTGCTCCAGGGAACAGGCAGCTAGGGCGCAAGGCAGCTCAGAGGAGGGGATGGCTGGTAAGAAGGAAACTTCTTGGGCCTCTCAGCTGACACAGCTGAGATACAGAGTATATTGGGATGGTACTTTGGGGAGCCAAATGTATGATAGTTGGGGAAGGAAAAAATCAAGAATTGACTCTGGAGCAAAGGGGCTCTGAAAAGTCAGGGAGAGCTGAGTGCATTTTAGAGTTCAAGGATGGTCATAAGAAAAGCCAGTGGTCACGACTCAGGAGCTCTTATCAGAACCTTCAGAAGTAGAAAGTTCTCCAGGGAAGATACAGCCCACATATAAGTGGAGATGTCAGAGCTGAGTGCATTTTAGAGTTCAAGGATGGTCATAAGAAAAGCCAGTGGTCACGACTCAGGAGCTCTTATCAGAACCTTCAGAAGTAGAAAGTTCTCCAGGGAAGATACAGCCCACATATAAGTGGAGATGTCATGTACCCCTCCATCTATCCATCCATCCCTCCAACCATCCATCCATTCATTCACCCACCCACCCATTCACCATCCAACCATCTGTTCACTCACTCATCCATCTATCCATCTGTCTGTCCATCCATACATGTACCCCTCCATCTATCCATCCATCCCTCCAACCATCCATCCATTCATTCACCCACCCATCCATTCACCATCCAACCATCTGTTCACTCACTCATCCATCTATCCATCTGTCTGTCCATCCATCTATTCATCCTTCTGCCACCCACCCACCCATCCACCCACCTATTCACCACCCAACTATGCATCCATCCACCCATCCATCCTACCATCTATCCATCCTTCCATCCATTTATTCATCCACCTAATAAACCATTCATTCACCCATCCACTCATCCATTGATTCAGCAGATAAACACATATACTGGGCCAAAATCTGGGGACACACAGTTTAGTCATCCATTTCCTGTTTTCATGGGTGCCCAAGTTTGCCTTCAGCTAGGCCAGGCATCTCTGGGATCCTCCAATCGCACCTCATGATGACCACTTACTCTACTCTCCCAATGAGTCTGGGGTGGGGTCGGAGATCAGAGAGAGGTTTCCAGATACGGGGCTCTGAGAGATCTCCAGCCCTCTTCCACCTGGATAACTGCAACTGCCCCATTCCTGGGTCTTCCTTACAGCCTCCCAGAGAGAGCATTTCACAGAGCAGAACCGATTGTCACTCCCTGCCTAGACCCCTACAAATGACATCTCCCATCCATTACTCTTGGGACCAAGACAAAAGTCCTTCTTATGGCCTCTCCAGCCTCCCCACATACACCAGATGCTTCCCCTCACTTTCTAGGTTTCAGACAGACAGGCTGCTTCCAATTGTGCAAACATAATCCCTCCTGCCCCAGATCCTTTGCCTCTGCTGTTCTTTCTGCCTGAGGGGCTAAGGGCATGCTGAGCAGATGGTGCCCCATTGAAAGAAGAAGGGGTGGCTTTGCTTGATGGCAGAGCAGCGGGCACAATAAGGCTGGAAGGGGTTGGAAGCAGACTGAGGAGGGTCATGAATGTTAGTGGGGTGGTGATTGTGGGTCATGGGAAGTTTTCTGCCTCCCATTCCAGGGGCCCCGCAGCCCTTCCCTACTGTTGGAGTCAGAACTAGAGTTTTCCAGGGCCCACACTGGCATGGGGACCTGGAGAGAGGACTGAGAGGGGCAAGGAGGGTGGTTCAGGTAGAGACGTTTATCATCAGAAGAGACCCCCAGGTGGCTACGGGATGCTATCGGCAGACTGGTGGCTGTTACTGCTCTAGGGAGAGGGCCACACCACACATGGCACCCATCCTGAAGGCCTCCCCACGGCCCCAGGGTGAATGCAGTAGAGGTCCAGGCTGGCCAGGCTACAAGGGCTCAGGCCTGTGAAGGGACCCCAGACGGGGCAGGCCCCGCCATCCCATTCAGTCCCCAGTTAGCTGAGGAGCCACGTAGCTTTAAGCCAGTCATCTTGAGGCCAATTTTCCTATCGGTGAAATGGCGAAAATGATCTTGTGAGATGGAGGGTGTGAAAAGGCATTGTCATTATGGTTTCTGGTCCTCCTGAGGTGCCTGTCCCTGCCCTGTTGCTCCAGCCTGCTGCTAGGAGCCAAGCCAAGCAGGTTGGGAGAAAGGCAGAAGGAGTTTCACAGCCAAAATCCTGTCCCCTTCACCCAGCTCATATAGGCAGGGAGGTCCTCCAAGCAGGCAAAAACTAGGCAGACTCTGTCCTCTCCCGTCCCACCTCATTCTGGCTCTGCCTGATCCTGCCTACGGCTTCTGACGGCTCCCTGGGCTCTCAGCATAGGGGCCGTGCTCCATTGTAAGGTGTGTACAGCCTGTGCTGGCCAGGCTCTCCCTCCCTGTCCAACTGCACCTCTCCTCCACCTTTCCTGAGCTCAGTGCAATATCCTGGCTCTAGGCCTGGGCACAGGCTCTCCTCTCCACCTGGTGTCCTTGCCCTCCTTTTCCACTGGGCTAACTTCTCTTTATTCCTCAAAACTTGACTCCAACATCACCACCTTTGGGACATCCCCATGTCTTCCCCCAACATCCCCATGTCTACATCTGAGCTCCTGCAGCACCTGGTCATTTTCTGGGTGACAGCTGTCACAACAGGCACTGTGTTTGTCATGGTGTCCAATGTACCCACAGCACCTGGCCCAGGGCCAGGCCCAAGTAGGTACTGGAAAGCACTTGGTGGATGGAAGAGTGAAGCGCATGGACCTATTTTCAACTGTTAGCAGAGAACACCCACCCTGCAGGTGCGGGCAGGCCAGAAAGTCAACCATGACTCCTCTGCTGTTGCGTGCGTTCTCCAGCTCAGATGGTCATGTCCCAGAGGAGTGAGCTCAGGGTAGGCACTCCTCTCTTCTTCCCTGTATTTCAGGGCTAGCCCCATAGCGAGGCCCCTCCCATAGACTGGATGCCCCCACTGTAACTGCTGATGGTGGGAAATCCTATTATGGTAACTGAAAGGCTGGGCCTTGAAGAGGTGATTAGATTGTGAGGACTGTTCTGTAGTGAATGGGTTAATAAGTTGATGGTTCCGTGGTGGTCACGGGCATGGTTCTCAGGGCTTTAAAAGGAGAAGTGAGGAGTTAGCTCTCTCTCTGCCCTGTTATTCTTGCCATGTGACACCCCACATTGCTGCAGAGTCACATCACCAGATGTGTTCCCTGGACTGTGGACTTCCCAGCCTCCAAAACTGTAAGCAATGAATATTGTTTCTTTACCAATTACCCAGTTTCTAGGTATTTCATTATAAGCAACTGACTAATAAAGCCCCCAACCCTGAAGCTGCTCTTTTGTCTCACAGAGCTCTGGCCTGAGCCCTTCTGAATGACCTTCACAAAGCCACTCAGCCGGAGACCCCCACCTGCCCAGGAGGCTTGGTGAGAGGCAGCAGCCCAGGTGGGAGTGCTTCTATGTGTTGGGCAAACCTGCTGCTGGAGACCTCTCCCGCTAGCCTGTCCTCTGACTCTTCTAGAAAGACCCACTCAGCAAACACCCTTCATAGTACAAGAGCTGGAAAAAAAATGTTTTCCTAATGATCCGGTCTGTTTCCTCTAAATGAGCAAATGAGCTCACTTGCTGCTTTACCCTGGCTGCCAGGAAGCTCAGAGCAAAGCTTTGTGCTTAATCACTGCTATGGTTTCCCCAACTCTGCTGTCTCCAATTTAACCATCCTCTTGCTTGGTTCTTTTCTTTTATTTTCATGGTTTTTGGTTTTAGTCTCTTTATGCTTTTTATCTGTGAACCACAGACTTGTGTCATTTTTTTTTTAGAAGTAGGTGAAGTAATAATAAAATTTTTTAAGTATGCTTTGCTTGGGTGGAATCTTTGGGGTGCCTAATCCTGCCTCACAGGAAAAGAGACCCTCAATAGTACAGAATCACCCCCATCAGACTACAAGTTCTTGAGAGAAGGCCCTTGCTTCCCTCCTGGGGCTGGGGCCTCATCTCTGTGAGTCCTTTGCCTTCCAGTGCTAGCTTCTTTTCAAGGCAGTGAGCAGACAGGCCTGTTTCTGAGTACAGATCTGAAAATCAAATTATGTAAAGCAAATCCCATTGCAAAGGGGCCCAGAAGCTCACTGATCACCTAGGCATGTTTAAACTCTGAGCCTCATCTTTAAAATAAGGACACTAAGACCTTTCTCATGGGTTATTGTGAGGATTACATAATACAATGAATGTCAGGTGGTTTACATAGTCCCTAGTATAAAGCAAGCTCTCAAAATTATTATGGTTCCTAATTTTTTCTAGTCTGTTTTAATTTTCTTGACATTGAAATACTATCACGTGTTGTATGTTGGTCCCACATTTTTTTCTGCCTTTTGTTGTTGACTGGTCCTTCTTTCGCATAAGTCTTATTATGCCCAAGATGGCACATTTCCTTTCCTCTCTTTTTTTTTTTTTTGAATCAAAACTGCTATTCACAGTCCAAGTGACCATAAAGCAGACTGAACCTCTGTTCCTGGAGAATGTTCTCCAGCCCTAGGCCCCTAGCTAGGAGCTGGTGTGACATTTTAAATGGGTGGTTTAATCTTAGTTTCGCTGTTTGAAAAATGAAGGGACTGGACTGAAAGCTCCCATGGGCCTTGAGGGCTGGCAGTGGAAGATTCAAATATTCTATGATTCTAAGGGTTCAGGATGCAATTCTGAGGCCTTGGGGTTTAGCCAGATGGAGCCAGATATGCCCACCTTTATTTGTAATGAATGGGAGTCCCCCTCCCCGGGCCCCACAGGTGGCCCTCTGGTTGCAGGTCGCCAGCCATCTGCATTCAGTGGGGTGGCATGAGGTGGGGGGGCCATAGCTCCTCCCATCAGAACTACAGCTCCACAGTCCAGCAGGAAATTTCTGTTCCTGGGGGCCCCTCCTGGTAATCCAGCTTGAGCTCTCTGGGATGGATAGACAGACAGACAGACAGACAGATAGACAAAGTGGTCAGCAAATATCAGGTGTAATGGGAAGAGAGGGGGACAGCTGGAGACAGCTGGAGACAGTAACATGGAGGGTGGGGAGTCCTGGGATCCCTCCAGAATTCCCTCCAGAGCAGGCCAACAAGGCCCAGTCACCCAGAGGTTACCCAAGGGGGCCCAGTGTGTGTGGTCCTTGGGGCCTAGGGCTCTGAGAGTTCAAGGCGGGAATGGGGAGAGTTTCCTACTGTCCCCACCCAACCCTAGTGATCTCAGGGCCAGTGTGTGCCTGTGGGTCTGAATTGGGTATTTTGTGGGGTCACTATGAGCTGGCTCAGACACATCTAAGGCATTAATCTTTCACCTGACTGTGTCCAGTTCCTGGCCTCCCAACCCCCACCCCACCCTGGCCAGGCTCAGCGGCCTGCTTGTGCTGAGTTACCTGGTGGCAGAATGGTCATTCCCCTGAACCCTCAACGTGCGTTTGCTGTCGTCTGCCGCTTCTAAGGGCCCCCAGAGCACGTCCTGGTAAAACTGGCCTGAGATGCAAACGGTGGGTCAGCAAGGGATAAAGACAGAGAGAGCCCAGGAAGCACGTGCAGGGGAGGAGCGTGCCTGTTCCCAGGCAGAGGGGGTTTCTGAGGATGCCCTGAGCTCGGGCCATGGGCAGAGTACCAAGAGTCCCGTTGACGTGGCTGGAGAAGCGGTCAGTGTCACGCAGAAGGAGCCGGAGCCCCTCACCGGGTCCATCCCATGGCAGTAGGCCGATGGTCACTTTGTCTGGGCCACTGAGCAGCAAGACACCCGTCTTGTCCATGGTCATCTTTAGGCTGTGGAGAAACCCAGCGTCCTAATCAGGAAGGTAGAGATACTCGCATGCAACCTCAGTAGTTGGGGTGGGGGTGGGGGGTGGGGCTTCCCTCTTGTCCAGCAAGTCAGAGTGTGGCCTTGGGTGGGAAGTCCCTTAAATCTCCTGAGCTTCAGCTTCCTCACTGGTAAAATAGGACCAAAGTTAACTTACTGATATCCTGTTTCCCCAGCATTATTTATAAGACATGACAATGTTTGCTTTCCCTCTGGTTTTCTTAAATTTGGTTTCTCATGAATTCGTCCAATATATCTACTCTGTCCCTTTTGTTTTTATGGCTGGTGTCACTTTCTTTGGATGATTTGTGTTTAATCATGTGTTTTAATGTCTAGGGGGTAAATCTCCTCTGATTCTACCCCTCCATTTTTACCTAAAATAATCTTTGAAATTCTTGCCTTTTTGGTTTTCTTATAAATGTTAGGCTCCTTGAAGCATGTTGAATAAGACCCTGATGTTACTCTCAGGTTAATTTAAATGGAATTGTCCTAAACTTACACTGTCCTATTGATTTGATTCCATTTAAAAGATGTGGTCTATTTCCCTTTAAGTACTAGTATATCTTCCCTATATCTTCATATATCTTCTGTAGCTCTTGAAAGTATTTGGACTTTCCATCACTATAACTAATAGAAATTATTTCATTTTCTAGTGTGTATGTCCAAGGCATAGAAATGCTATTGGTCTTTGTGTATCCATAAGATAACAAGAAACTTTACGATCTTTTATGAAATTAGGAAGTTTTGCCGATGAGCCCCTTGGATTTGCTGGAAGTACACGTGTTTATCAAGTGCTGAGGGCTCAATGAGGTGGCAGTGGATGAGGCTCTGTGTACTTGGGAAAAGATGGGCTATGGCCCATGCTGGGGCTCAGAGGGCACTGCCCACAGAGGGCCCCCCGTGACTTCCAGAGCCCGAGAGCTTCCCCTGGAAGGCCTATGGTGGGCAGCCACACCACCCAGAAGAGGTTGCCTTCTGGCTCCATGACCCACCAGCCACCCAGTGTTTGAGGACAACTTGACTTGTCTCCTTGCTGGGGCTTCAGAGCCTACTGAGGACAACATTCATAACCTCTCCGGCAGACTGTGCTCTCCAGCTTCCCATTTCTGTCATCCTAGCCTCACCTCATAGGGAGCACCACCCTCTGGTATAACCACAGACACCCTGCACCATCTGATGGCAAAGAGCTGCCCCCCCGCAATGTCCTCTCACTAGGCCCTCCCCCTGGCCTCTGACCCAGCTGGGATGATGATCCCTAGTTATTAGTGAGGAAACTGGGGCTCAGATGGACTGAGTGGCCTGTCCAGAGTCACACAGGATTAGCAGCAGAACTAGCTCCAAATCACACTGTCTCCTGCATGGGATAGTGACCTGGGTTAGGTATGAAGGGGACCTGGTCCCTAAGACAACTCCTCACTGCCCTCCAGAGCCACAGGAGTAGAGACAGGGCTCTCTATATTTCAGTTCCTCCTATAAGTGCAGCCCACTGCAGAGGACTCACCACCAGCCAATCCATCCGCAGGTCTGTGGCCTCAGTTCATCAGCCAATGTGGCCTGAGAGGCTACCACTGGGACCCTAGCCTGGGGCTTACCTGGGCATCACCGAGAACAGCGTCTCTTTCCACTTATACGCAGAGCTTCTTCTGTTCCGAATCACCACCACGTGTTCAGGGGATGCATGAACCTGCAGCTGGGGATTCTTGAAGGTCACCTCAATCCATGAGAACCCAGCCTCCTCCGTCTCATACTGGCCAGTCACTTCAACCCCTGGAAGGGCCAGACCAGAGAGGTCAAAGCTGTGGCTCCAGCCAGGGCCAGGCACTGGCTCGAACAGGGATCCCTCCCTGGAACTGTTCTTCACCAATGTGCCTCCCCAGGAGGGGACTCCTTTCCTCAGCACGCCTTCATGGTGGGGCCTGGCTCCCATGATCTCCCCACTCATTCCTTGGAGTCCTATGGCTTTGGAGGGACCCCCACATCCTTGGTGATGGCCACTCTCAGATGAGACCTCTGAGAAGGGTGGTCTTGTCTCAAGTCAATAAACCTTCAGAAAGCCCCAGTGCTGAGTGGCCCTGAGCTAGAGGCCATGTCCAAGGGTGAGATGGAAAATCAGGGCTCCCTTCCCTCAGGGAGCAGACAGACTCCTGGCCTGAGTGATGAGGTGAGAAACTGGTGGATGTGGGAGGAATGAGGGACCGTGGATGTCCCTCGGCCCGAAGAGGCTCTGCAGGGTGTGTGAGAGCATCCTGAGTGGTGTGTATACACATCAGCTCCACTAGCAAGGCCCTTCCAGGACTGGAGGGATGGGTCCAGCTAGCTCACCGGCCTCCTCCCACCATCCCCTCCTCTGCACCCTCTAGGGCCCCATCTTATTGGGCTCTGTGCTCTGCAGGTGTTAATTCCTCCATCTGGAACATCCTTATTCCTTCCACTGCTTTTCCGCCAAGGCCCGGCCACTCTGGGGACCCTGTGCAACTCCTCTGACCCTCAGGCAACTCTCATTGTCTCCCTCTGGGCACTGATTACAGGCCACTGTACTTATCTGCACCCCGGCCACCCAGACCTACACACAGGTGCCCAGTGAAGGGTCTGGGGTGGAAGTGTGAGTGCCAGTGTTGGGGCATGGGCCTAGGGCTAGGTCTGTACACACTGTGTGTGTCTCTGCGGGCAGGTGGTGAGTGGGTATGAGTGTGGCTAGGTCTCCTTGGTGGGTGACTGGGTGTGCGCTTCTCACCTTGGGTAGGGTCTGAGAGCAGATTCATTGGTTCCTCAGATTGCGTGATGTCCACACAGAGCCGGTCCACGCTCTGCCCAGGCAGCGGCAGGATAACTGAAGGAGCCTGGATGGGGGCTGGGACGGCCAGTGCACAGTTCCTGGGACAGTCAGAGCAGGCTGGGGGGCAGGGATGGGGAGGGGTGCTGGGGGCTGACAACTCACTTGCGGGCACCGTCGTGGTTGTTTCTAAAAGAAGAAAATGTCTGGGTTTAGGCAGCCCCTTCCTGTGGAGTGGAGGGGCTGAGGGATGGAGTAGTGGGTGGGCGGGGCCGTGTCTCCCTCTCCAGTTGAGCATTGAGAAATCCATGTGACAGGTTCATAGAGACCTCCCCCGCTACAACCACCACCTGGCTTCCCCTCCAGGGTCTTCCATGAGGACAAGAAGCTACTCTAGGGGCTCTGGCCTGGGGAACACCTTTGATTCTTGTATCCACGACATGCAACGTGGCTTGATCAGGCTCAGCTGGTGGTGCTGAATCAGGCGCTACTGCAGGAACATCCAGAAACAGAAGGGGAGAAGGCGGTCAGAGTTGGGAGCAATCAGCTTGCCCTCCAGCCATCACTGCTACCTGCTGCCCACCACGCCACACTCCCACCACCACACATACACCCCACCTAGAAGAGCCTTTGCAGAGGGAGACATTCAAACAGAAGAACGTGCTGTTAGGGAAAACGCTAAGGAGACAGGGTCCAGCCTGGCTTTGTGGCTGTGTCTGAGTCCCAGATTTAGGGATAAGAAACAGCTCAAGGGACCACAGCTGGTGTTTTGAGTGGAGGAAGCTTTCCCTTTCTAGAAGGTTCCATCATGAGTCCGCCTCCAGAGCATAGGAATCCCATTCAGTGAAAATAAAAGATATACAAAGTCCCGCCTTGGGGAGGGGAGGCCTGACATCCATAAGCTGTGTGGGGAAGAGGCGCCTGAGGGGGGAGAAGGGCAGAGCCTGGTGCCCCTCATGGAGACTGGCCAAGAGTTCTCCTCGCGGAGCCCAGGGTCCCCTCTGAACAAGGAGCAGGCAAGAGGCTGCTCTATCAAGGCTGCGGTCTGAGCCAGGAGGGCTTGCCCCTGAGGAGATAAGATGCCGAGGACGAGGCAAAGGGGCGGCCGGCAGGGAGCAGGGAGCGGGGAAGGCGAGGGCGGCCCCTCAGCCAGCGCTGCGCTCGCCCGCCCGCCCGCCTGCCC